GTTCCTTTTTTTCAACAACTGGCAGAAGAACTTTTGGCAGACATTTCAGTCTGCAGGAGCTGGAAACCAGTGTTTGTCTTGGGCTTTTATGGCTTTTAGTCTAACTCCTTCATCTTTTTTTCATTCTACTTTTAAGAGCTTCTGATTATGAAGGACAGTCGTTTACTGAGCTAACATGTATGATGCCTTGGGTTTCCAGGATTGAAAATACCATGGGTTTATGAAACTTGGAATCAAACTTGTGATTTCCTTTCAGCTTTCAACTCCCATCCGCATTTCTCATCAAAAATCTCCCAGCTGTCATCTTGGAGCCTGGATACTGTCATTTGTATTGTTTCGTGGCAGAGTGTTGGGCGAGCTAACGCACTGTTGAAAGTCTTTGGTGCTGTGGTGGATCTTCTTTTCTTCTGGCTGTCTTCCTTCTCCAGGCCTGAAGGAAATGCAAGTGGTCAGGACTGCAGTGCTGTTTTCCTTCCAGCACTGCTGGCCAAGACAACTTGTTTGCATAGGGATCTTTTTTCAGCTGACATCCACCATCTGGTTCCACCGTCATCCTGCCCTCTTTGAAACTTGTAGTAAATACAATGTATAGGTCTAGATTTCACTTTGAATAAAGGACAGACCTCAAGAGACATCCAGAGTCAGTTCCAGATCACAGCTGCTGTGCTTTGATGCTACTGCCTGGTTTGAAAGGACAGGCCTCTTACTAGGACTTCCCTCTCTTGTACTCACAATGTAGCTTACACCGTTGCTTTGATGCAGCGTGTTATGTTTTTCCGTGCTGTTTCAGAGAATTCTTCACATCTTCACGCTGCCGATGCTGGGCATCGTTTTCTTCTCATTGCACCTGGTCTCCTCGTGAGTCAGAAGGACAAGACTGCTCACCTTCGTCCTGGATGTTGGAGATTTCATGTTGAAATTGGGGAGGGACAGTTCAGAGGCTCACTGAGGGCTCTCGTCATCCTCCCAGAGGAAGATGGTCTCCTGCACCTTGTTGATGCAGCACTATCAATCACAATTATGGAAATTATACATCTTTTATAAAAGGGAAATAATAATACAGATTTTTGTCTTTGGGATTGGGGCCAAACATTCCGAAGATGTCTAGCAGCACTCTATTTTAATGAGAATGGGTGTGCATGCATTTCTTCATCTGGAATATTGACTTGTTGGAGATGGTATTTTGGAAGAGATCCAGAAATCATGTTCTGTCAATTCAGTCTGTCGCTGATAATAATTTGTCCCAGAATGCAGTTGGAAATACTGTATTAGCTAGTACCCACTTCAGGACATTTCTACAGCAATTCCTTCCTGTGAGGCAAGTTTAACAGAACCTGGGGGGGGATGTTTGTCTGTGTTTTCTTTTCCTGATGAAGCCTGGCTGCTCATCACCTCTTCAACTCCCAAATTTCTCAAGTCTGCATTGAAATAAGGACATATTTTCTTCCTCCTACTCAGAATTCATTAAGATGATTTTTTTTTCCCCCCAGTAGCAATTAATTAATTGCTTAATTAATCTGGAGAAAGGGCAAGTCTTGAACGCACTCTAGACCTCTCAGGTTGGATCTCCAGAAGTGGTGTTTGACAGGGGTTAGACTAACAGCAGTGCTTGTACCTAGTAACAATTTTACAAGTTAGAGATTTGCTTCACGCTAAATACTCTTCCATGTGGTCATTTACCTGAGTGGAATGGAAAATAGGGATCATCAATAAATTAGAAATAGAGATTGGATCCACATGAAAATACCAAATTTAGGTTTTATATTCAGGAGAGTGCTATATATAGAATACTTTTCCTCATGCCTGAATTAAAAATCTATCCATGTGCTGTTTAACACATTGAATACAACTTCTGCTAGTGAGGGAGGCCTTCTGTAGCCACCAAGGAAAAAGCTTGTATATCTCTTTCCCTATTGCAGGAGTAAAGAGTTTAAAAAAAAAAAAAAAAACAAAAAAAAAACCTGTCTGAAACGAACTCATGCCTTAGAAGGTTCAGTATATCAGAGTATTCCTGCAGGTCAGGCTAAGCTGATGGTAGCCTGTTTTTATCTATATGACAGTAAGATTTTATGTGGAAGGTTATTTACAAGTGAGAGGAATAGCCATCTGATGATGTTTGGGTATTACCTGGCCATTTTAAACTAGATTACAACTGGAGAGACTCACATTAAGTGTGTCTCAAAAGTGCAGTGACAGTTTTGGTTCAGTAAGCAATTTTTCAACCAACATTATTTAAGAGGCCTGATGTATTTTTAAGGACGGTAGGCATCCATCTTGTGTCATTTGAGTGGTTCAGCAGATTCCTCGGTTAAAGCCATGTAGGAATGACTTTTGAACGGTGTTCCTTAAATATGTAGTTTGTTCTCTGGGACTTTTCCTAATATTGAAATCCTTGGAGTGTCCGTTCTGGATACTGATTCAAACAAAACCAAAAAAAAATTGAAAATTTCCTTTTTTGTGAGCAAGTCCTTGATAGTTAATAATGTGTATCTTATTGTTAATAATGTGTACAGTTAATAAGTACAGAGCTGTGGGCTCTGTAACATACTGACCCATTACAAGCCTGACAGGAGAAGTTGATACTATTATAACTGGGTATGTTTTCTCCGGTGAAACAAAAAGAATTTGCTTCTAGCCACAAAGATCATAAAGCCTTTTCTATTACTTTTCTAAAAATGCAGTTTAAAATATTTTAGAAATTAGTTAAAAAAAAAAAAAGGAAGATGTGCAGTTATGTTTTAGTTTAGCTTCCCTGGAATTTGTGTAGTTGAGTTTGAGTAGCCAGAGTTTACGGTTGTATGATAACAATAAATAGTAAATGCACACGTTGAATTTAACTGTACACTATGTGGCTCATTTGTGTGAGCTGTGTTTTACTATTGGCTTATTTACAAAATTAGCAAAATACTCAAAGGAAAGAAAAAGGTGCACGCGCATGAAAAACCTTTTTAACTTGTCACCTCAGTAGGTCACGTATGCCTTGATGTGTAAACACGTGCTTGAGAGAATCTTTCATTTTTTTCCTGCTGTGTTTCATTTTGGAGGCAGTGCCAGAGGTGGCTTCTCCCCAGTAACCAGTAGTAGGACAGATACGCTGGCAGAAAGCAAACTCACGTGCCGTAGCTGTGCTTTTCATTGATCCCTACCAGTAGGTTTGCTGTAACTGGCTTCATCTTAATTTGGAATAATTTCTGAGCAGCTTGTCTGATTAGCAGCTTTTTATTGACTTTGATTGGGAAGGTGTCTGTTGTTTGGGAACCTGTACTGCTGAGCTAGAAAGCCAGGGGGAGTGTGGGGGACAGTTTCTTCAGTGTATGTGAGGTATTTGCCAGGCCCAGAGGTGTCAAGATAGAGAGATTCACTACTCCTGCCTGATCTGAAATGTTAGACACCAAACCGTACGTGGGAATCCAGTGGGACACACATTTTCAGTGCACGGTTGGGTTTTTGTTCCTCAAGTGCATATCTGGCTTTTTGTTCCAAACTGCTGCCTAGAGAAACGTTCTTGTCGTGAAACTGCTTTTATTGCTTTGTTAACATAGTTCTCATCGCACCAGAACGGGATATCCTCTGCTTTATAATTACAATTTGTTCTTACTTTATCTTTTGTTAATTTATTATTTAATTTCTTGTACTGAAGGGTGATAATGGTACCTGGGAGAGAGGGTGTGATCTTTCTCCTCACGAATTCAATGCAGTGCCTCGTGTGCTGTGTTAATTTTGTACCTTTTCGAGTTGTCATTACATTACAGTACTTGAAAAATGGTCTTTTAAGTTACAAACGATGTAAAGATTTGACTCTGTTCTTACCGGTTAACAGCATAGTTGCACGTTGCTTTTCAAAGAGCGTTTGTTTAAAAAAATGATAATTGATACTTTCTGATAATTGATACATTCTGATCTCTGTCATGTGAGCTGTACTCGCAGGGCAGCTGAGAATGGAAAGTTATTACGTCAAAACCATAGTTAAATGCATTTATAATTATATAGTTTTATATATACGTGCAGTATGTAATTTTAATACATATTTTTAATGTTTGTTCTCCGATGAATTGCAATGAATAAAGTAGGAAGGCACAGTTCAAGGCAATTTCACTTGCTTTAATTCTCCTAGTCTCCTCTCTTACATTTTCTGCGTGTGACCACAATTCAAGACTCTGCCTTAAGTGAAAGACAATGAATAATTTATTTTATATTTCAACTTTGGTAAAGGGGTATAAATATAGCCAAATAAAGTCCTATTATTCTCTCACTCTTTCCATGTAACCCCTCACAGTAAATCTACCGAGTTGGTCTTTTTCTTCTCATGCCAAGTGATGGATGTGACTAGGCCACCCCCAATTGACATTTTTTTTCTTTATGAATTGTTCAGAATGCAAACCTACCTTGACCATAATGTATTTTGCTCATTAGGTTTTCTCATAGGCATCATCCTGACGTATAATCATCGTCCTTGTGTTTTTTTTCTTTGGGAGTCCAAAATAATGCTTTAATAATAAATGTCCAAAGCCCCATTAACGGAATAGAGCTGGAAACAGAAGAGCATAAGGTTCACATCTACATTTAGATCATGTGCTCACACTCTCACCCAATGTCATTCATGTCTCCATTGATCCTTCTTCCTGGTAGTTAATTTCATACTGGTCCACGACTGACTTATATTAAGTTATGGTTGCTTTTAGGTTTATGCTAATCAATATACGTGGTGAATGAAATCCTATTATATCCCCACTCAGAATAGATCTAAGGGAAATACAAGTTTATGGTTAAATAATTTCTGATGAGACATGGCACAGCATGCAGTGTCTGAAGTAGCTGATGGCAGATTCATTCATATTTTAGAATTACGCAAGTCTGGATGCTCAAAACATTTCTTTTTTTTTCTCCCCCTGTGCGTGGGTATCAAATATTACTGTTTTGGATTAACCTAGTTACTTTATAACTTTGATGTCTCCCAGCAGGCAGTATACTATTAATAGTTCTGTTCTTTTGCGTTGCAGGGGGTTCAGGACCGTCATCATCAATAGCCATAGCTGGCACCAGCCAACCTGCCATCACAAAGACAACATCTGTGCTTCAAGATGGTGTTATAGTCACTACTGCAGCTGGAAACCCACTCCAGAGCCAGCTGCCCATTGGGAGCGATTTCCCTTTTGCTGGCCATGAACACTCGCTTCATTTCCCGCAGAACAGCTCTTCAAACAACAATCTTCCACATTCTTTGAATCAAAACCTCCTCAATTCTCTACCTATCTCTTTGCCAGTGAATCAGCAACATCTCCTAAACCAGAATCTATTAAATATACTACAGCCTTCAGCAGGAGAAGGCAAGTCTGAGGTCAACCTCAACCCTTTAGGTTTTCTCAACCCGAATGTAAATGCTGCTTTAGCTTTTCTCTCCAGTGACGTGGATGGGCAGGTATTGCAACCTGTTCATTTTCAGCTTCTAGCAACCCTCCTTCAGAACCAAGCCCAAGCAGCTGCCATGCTTCCCCTACCATCTTTCAATCTGACCATCTCAGATTTGTTGCAACAGCAAAATAACCCTTTACCC